CACACATCCATGAGGGTAAACGGCGTGATCCCGAAAAAGTGAGCGAGTCAGAGTTAGATTTGTCAGATTTATTAAACTCCTGTGTCGTGACGATTAACTGTCGGGTTTCTATCTGTGGAGAAAAAGCCGACAGAGTCTTAGTTTGAACCTGAAATATGAGATTGTGTAAATGAGCACATAACAATACAAACGATATCTTTAGGGTCTGCAGGCTGTTTTGGATTGTAATGCAAAAGAGGAATGTCGCCACCTACAGGAGCCGAGGTGGACCTGCTTCTGAACATAATTCAGTTCTTAACCCGGTCCATGTAAACCGGGACAAGAACGGTAGTCTGGTAGTTTGACGTAAAAATGTAGCTAATGCAAAAGTGCTAAAAACCGCGGTTCCTCGTATGTCCATCTGAGGGCGCTGCAGAAGCAACAGGAACTACATTTGTTCAGTACAGAAAGTGAACTTTTATGAAACCCAGTCGTTTGAAAGTTTTTAAGGTTACAAAATCGGCGAATCAGACGCCCGGCTTACTTGACGCCCGCTTCTGGTTGGCTGACAAGCGTTAGGTTGAGTCAGCTGATTGGCTATTCTGCTTCAGGGTGACCTCAGCGATGCTACATCCAGTTATTACACAGTCTGAGCAGTGTTGCCAACCTGGCAACTTCGTCGCTAGATTTAGCAACTTTCAAACCCCCCTTGGGACTTATTTTCAAAAAGCGGCTAGCGACAAATCCAGCAACTTTTTCTGGAGTTAAGAGACTCTAACATGAACGCAAGTATCGATGTTACCATTCAAAAACACAGACTCAGACACATACAGACACTCTGTAAAAGACCCCGCTCTCTACTCCAGGGGGTTGAAGTTGGGGAGTCGTCGGTGGCTGTGGGTTTGACCTAGAAATTATGCAAATTAGGCAATGACGTCTTCTAGTGACCATTACGGCAATCACTAGCGACTTATTTTCAAAATAGCGCCTAGCAACAAATCCAGTGACTTTTTCTGGCGTTTAGAGACATGAACACAGGGGTCATCGGCGTCGTTGGGTTTGACTGAGAACTTATGCAAATTAGGCGATAACGTCATCTAGGGACTTTGACGAACGCCACTAGTGACTTTCCTTACTGAGGAGTTGGCAACACTGAGTCTGTGGCGGTTAGTCGACATTTGGGCTTCACAGCGGGAGGAGGCGGAGTCACGTGTTGTTATTCAGTCTCAGTTGATTGACTGTGGCGAAGTTTTCCGTTACCTGATAAAAGAGAAATAAAACAGACATTAAAATGAGAGTTTCTGACAGCGTCTTTGTTAACAATGTGAAACTAAGAGTCTGTTAACTCCACAGGAAACTCTTCACTTATTTAATGTCATTTCCAAATTTGAATTTCTTTCTTACTTTTAAAATTCCCCAAAACAAGTCGGACCCTTTTTGCCAGCCGCCTCTACAAAGTTGATCTTTGGCAGAATGAGGCCGATCACGGCGCCGCTGAGGACAGAAACGACATCTGATTGGATGAAAAACTGATGAAATGAATTGATTTGCATTGGAAACGTGAACTCGACTCCCTCAGCTGGCGGAGAGCGTGATGGACTGTAACATTCAATAATAGATCAATATGGCGTGTTATTCCCACTGATACTCCCACGTGTGAGGACGGCGATGAAAGTAAGACGCAGGAAGTGCTGGATGTGATCAGCGGGGGGACAAAGACGAGTTCTGAGGCGAGACACTTCAAGCAGCAAAGATTTCAATAATCGCTGTTGGATAAAGAGACGACGCTTTTGTCGGGGACGCCATAGTTCACGTTTTTTCAGCTGCTTTGGTTTAACGTACGTTTGGTTTTCAGATTCTGAGTCGTGTTGGAGAGAAGATGGAGAGAAGATGGAGAGAAGATGGAGAGTTGTTGAGGGACCTGGGGCTGAAAAGTGAAGTTTAAAAAAAAAGCAGGGATGGAGGATGACTGGATGATTGTTTGTGCATGTCTAAGAGCCGAGCTGAAGCATGAACGAGTGGAGGAGAGGGAGAGAGAGAGAGAGAGAGAGAGAGAGAGAGAGAGAGAGCAGTTCTGCCAAATCAATATGAGCAGCAGGAGGAGGAGAGCTGTGTGTGTTTTTTTTTTATTCCTCAGCCCGGCTGTAAAAATAAGAGCGCAGTCTTTTTTTAAACACGTCAAATTCAGGAGGATGGAGAGAGAGAGCGAGAGAGAGAGAGAGAGAGAGAGAGAGAGAGAGAGAGAGAGAGAGAGAGAGAGAGAGAGTGAGAGAGAGAGAGAGAGAGAGGCACGGATGGATGGATGAGGAGGAGAGGGAGAGGAGTCTGGGTAATACTTCAGACTAAGTGGAGTAAAAGTTTCATCAGCAGTGTGTGTGTGTGTGTGTGTGTGTGTGTGTGTGTGTGTGTGTGTGTGTGTGTGTGTGTGTGTGTGTGTGTGTGTGTGTGTGTGTGTGTTGTGTGTGTGTGTGTGTGTGTGTGTGTTCAGATACCTGCATGTACATGTCTCTGTGTTCGACCAGAGCTCAACTCCCACCTTTGTGCAGAATATCAATTCTCTCTTAGCTGTTTGTTTGTGTGCATGTGTGTGTGTGTGTGTGTGTGTGTGTGTGTGTGTGTGTGTGTGTGTGTGTGTGTGTGTGTGTGTGTGTGTGTGTGCGTGTCTCATATCTCCTTCCTGTAATCAGACACATATTGAAGTCCATCCATTCGGCTGAATGAAGCAAATTACCTTCTTTTCTTCTCCTCCGCTCTAATTCAGCCTTTAACACTTAAATCCTTTACCTCTCTGAACACACACACACAGACGCGCACACACACAAACGCAAACGAACGCACACCTGTGCTACCTTCCCGGGTGTAGGCGGGATGATTACAGATACTTTGAGGAGAGTGGGAGGGCTGTGTGTGTTTACAGAGCGTTTGCTGTTTATGATTTCTAAAAACCGGTGAGGTTTCGGCCTCTAAACTGAATTTCTCTGTGTGTCTGTTGTGTGTTTGTGTGTTTGTGTGTGATGGATTTTGCGTCACATTCACCTGTAAGGAGATAAATCTATAAAAGGAAACATCTGAATATCTGAATGTTCTGACTCCTAAACAAACGCAGATCTGAGCTAAAGCTCCATAAAAGCCTGTAAACAGATTAAGCGTGTCTCTGTTGTAATCTGATGTTTCCAAGATCAAACTTTTAACCTCCGAACTGTGACTTATTGAACCTCGCTCTCACACACTTCAAACCCAGCCGCCATATTTGATTTTACGCGTGTTTAAATATCGAGGCTCCATCAGAAGATCCCAGACATGCTGGAGTGAGTTTTTGGGACACGTGTATAAATGATGAACAGATCTCTGAGGATATTTACAGTTTATTAAAACAGATCGGTCACCGAGGACACCGAGCAGAGGGTTAAAAAGTTCATTTTATTTAGTGTAAACGTCCGACGCCGAGTCAAAACAAGCTGAGACCAAAAATACTCAACAACAACAACATCAGAGCAGGAGGAGAAGAAAGATTTCTGACTGTGAAGCTGATAGTGATGGTGATTTTTAGAGCCCTGAGTAGGGCTGGGCGATATGGCCTCAAATCAATATCATGATATATTGATCAGTTCACCTCGATAACTATAAATGGACGATAACTACTCCACAAGCTGCTCACACCCTCCCACATTAACTTCGTCTACTTCAACTTTCTCTCCATCCTCCATCTCCTCACCTGTCTTTCCCTCTTTGTTACAGACTGGATGGGGTGGAGTCACGTCTCCGATGTAGGACAGCGTCTTAAAGGGACATGAGACCATAGCCTACACACATCTTATTATCATATTTATCATTTTGACACAGAATAGTATATTGACATGGGCAAAATGACGTTGTAAATTTCGGTATCGGTAAATTTTCAGTTTATCGCCCAGCCCTAGCCCTGAGAACATTGTCTAATAATAACAATCATGCTATCATGACAGACAGACATCTCAACACTAGAGTCTAATCAGAACTGAAAACACTCAGTCTGCTGTTGTTCAGTCTTCTTGCTTCCACCCGGGAAGCAAAATCGCACTTGATGTGTATAACCAACATGTCAAAATTCGCCTCAGAATATTTAGTAATTTCACGTCTTATACTTGCGAAGTTCCCGGTGTGTAAAGACCTTTAGTTTTGTGTATTTAAAATAGATTTTAATGGTAAATAATCATAATAACTCAGCTGTGTTAAACGGTTGACTCTAGTTGGTTCAAGTTTTACAAAAACAATAATTTACTCTAAAAAGTTCAGACCTCTCCAGACTCAACCTGATCCCACCCTTCCTCCTCCAAACACACGGTCATCCATTATCAAACTATCCTGAGCTTCTAAATGCAGTTTTATAGTTTTAATTATCACCTTTTTTCATGAAAAATACAAATTTACCAACATGTTTATATATATTTAACTTTTATATCTATCTATCTTCACACATTATAGTTAAAAACTAAATTACCAAGTTTTTACTGGATCATATTTAGCTTTTTTTTATTTTGGTGAGTGATTGATAGGACAGATTGGAAGTACGGGGAGATAGAGAGAGAAGGAAGAGGACATGCAGCACATGGTCAGTGCTGGACTCTAACCCATGACCGCTGAAGGGACCGTGGTCTCTGTAGGTTGGGCGCACTGACCCGCTAGGCCATCTGCGCCCCCCTATATTTATCTTTTTAAACTGATACTGAATAAACTTAACTCCTAATGTTTTTATTTTTTTGATTTGTTGAGAAAAACTTGCAGGTGATGCAAACACAGATAATAACAGCAGCAGCAGCAACAATAACAACAGGTGTTTGTGTTTCCAGGGAATTCAATCCAGAGGAGAATGAAACAATCAGTTACCATGGCGATTGTGAAGGAGGAGGAGGAGGATGGTGAGGAGGAGGATGAGGAGGGGGCGGCGAACAGTTTGGTTTGGAGAGTGTCACTTACAGGCTTTGATGATGATAAGAGCAGCTGCCGGGGTAAACAACATGACGGCGGCGGCGGCGGCGTTAAAACACTGAGAGAATTGGACACTCCAGAGGATCAGGTTGAAAATCTCTTTTTTTTTTTCCTTCCATCCAGCTCCTTTTTTTTTTACCCCCACCAACATCTGTCTGTGTGTCTCCATCTCCTCACCCACACAAAAAAAAATCACCCACCCACCCATGAGCCCAGACTACCTGCTTTCTCTCTCCCTGCAGGTGTCCTGCTGGCCTCTTGATGCGAGGCAAAGGATTGCTGTAACCATGGCAACACCCTGACACAGACTCCCATCTGTGAGCAGGGTGGGCATTTGGTAAAAAAAAAAAAAATCATATGTGTACTACTAGAGTTTTTGTGTTTTTTTTGTTTATGTGAATTTATTGGACGCTCTTTTTGACGTCCCAGGGTCCTCGGCTGCGTCACCGGGACGGGCAGATGTCACCGAGCGTGCTCCAGTGAACGAGTCTCTCACTTTCTCTGGGAGCGAGGGGGGAGGATGGACAGGCGGTGAAGCTTCTGAGGCCCCGGCGTTGATATGACAGATAAAGAAATAATGGGGAGTGTAGAGAGGGCGCTGAAAACAGAGGAGGAGGCTGAGGAGGAGCAGAGGAGAGCGGTGATGAGATAACAGTCCTCCTGCTGAAGGAGGCAGAGTGGGAGGACGATCCAGAGCGAGACGGGCTGAGGTGATAAATTAAGAAAGGAATACGAGGAGAGCTGCGATGGAGATGTTTTTGTGTGTGTTTAAGAAAACGTCAACTTTAAGAGCAGGAGAGAGAGAGAAAGAGAGAGAGAGAGAGAGAGGGAGAGGGAGAGAGAGAGAGAGAGAGAGGGAGAGAGAGAGAGAGAGAGAGAGAGAGAGAGAGAGAGGGAGGGAGGGAGGGATGAGAGCAGTGGAGGATGTTGAGCTGAAATCTTAACTAACAGAAGCGACGGTGTCACGCTGAGAAGAGCTGAAACTAGACATCAGGGCTTTAGGCTAATTAAGAAAAGAAAGACGCTCTAGGTGTGTGTGTGCGTGTGTGTGTGTGTGTGTGTGTGTGTGTGCGTGTGTGTGTGCATGTGTGTTTAACTCCCATAAAAAGGACAAAGGTGTTTAGTTGTGTGTGTATCTGTAATGTCTGTCACAGTGTAACCTGATGCAGCCTGATTGTGACTCACACCTCTCCTCTTGTTTCTGTCACACGTTTGTTTCCGCTCCCTTTGTGTGTCTGAGGGTGTTTTTATCGACTTAATTACCCAAAGATATCCATCTGGCGGTGGAATGAGCTTCACAGATCAGGCAGCAGCAGCAGCAGCAGCACAATATTGCCTCTTGTTAGTGAGGTCATAGAGCTGATTACCGTTCAACGTGACTGAAATGTAGCAGGGATGCAATAATATGATAGGACACTTAGCTAAACATGATCTATGTGAAGTCTGATTAACAGTGGGCGGGTTTTTCTAAGGTAGCTGCACAGACCCGATCCATGCTCAAGGGGGCGCCCAGGACAGCATGTAGCCTGATGTTTCAAAAACCTCATACCCGAGCATCTTCCACTTTAAGGTGTTGTAGTTCAGGATCTGAGTTAGTTCCAGTTTTTAGTAGAAATCTTGAATGTAAACTCTACCCCTCCAAACCAGTTTTCCCCTCAGCTCCTCCTCTCCCCTCAAGCCCCGCCCACAAACAGACGCTCCTGCTCGCTCGTCTCGTTCCAATTAAATTCAGATATAATGCAGATAAATACTTCAGATCATTACAAATGGGGCCCAGTCAAGGTGAAAGTCAAAAGCATTGGTGCTACTGTAGATGTCAACAGACTACCAGCAAACACAATGTTTGCAGGACTTCTACAACGAGGATAAAGTGACATAGTCCAGGACCCGAGGGAGGACAGTTTAGCGATGGCGCTACAACACGCTACAGCAGGTCCGTTTGACAAGAAACACTTCTGTTACAGACACTTGTCTTACTTTGTTAAAGCGGTTTACCTGTCCAGCAGAAAGGTTACAGGGTCACCAAGATCCCCAAGCGTCCCCCATCGTTTATGTTGACCCGGCTTTTTAGCTCTTGTCCGGTCTACCTCTGTTTTAAGCACCCGTTATTCCTCCAGAGTCTCCGGTATTTACTTTGTTTTCTTGCTTGTGTCGGCAGTCGTGGCCAAAGGAGGATTCAGACAATTTTCCGAACTTTCTGGTTGGTTTCTACTGTCCGATATTGTAGCACGCTAACTTTGTTTGGGCTCCTGAACGACACGGGGGAGCAGCGTCTGCCTCACAACCAATCAGGTTAGAGGAGGTGGAGAACGGCTTTGTTTACAGTCAGAAAGAGCGGACCGCTCAAAAATGTTCAAATGTTGACGACACAGACATAAGAGAACACAGAGATATTGATATATTACCAAATGTCATCAATAACTAATAACTATTGACTGATATTAAAAGCTTTTTTGTAAATATACCACAAAAAAGATGCTTCTTTAACGGATTCCCACCTTTATTCCTGATAAGTACTATTCAATAGTTGGTGATGAAATTGTAACAGCATGACGGAAAAACACGAAACTTTTGATTCACTGTTTACAAAAACGACTTCTACTCTGCAAGAAGCTCCAGTTCTGCACAGATTTGATTCGTTATTAGTCACATGGTCATTATGAAACTGTGTATAACCCTGCAGCACATGCACATTATCAAAAGACTGATTTGGCACTTAAATGAAAAAGTTTTTCCAGAGTATAATAAACTGTAATGGTTTTTTACCATTAGAAAAGGGCCTTAAAGGGAACATGATTAGATTTGATCCACTACACAGACATCAGTGAGGACACCAGGGGGGGCGGTCTCCCCTCATGCCCCCCTCTGAGTGCACCACTGCTTGTATTTGCAGACAGAAACATCCTTGTTCATGACGCGGTGATATAGCAGATGTTGAAGACCTCTTCTTTACCCTTAAATCTCCAACTCTGAACCATCTTTGATCGTGTCTTTTTAACAGCAAAGACTTTGTGTTTAAATCCTGAAAAACTCAAACCTGAGGAGTTTTCTCCTCCACATCCACAGAGACATTTCCCATGTTGTTTTTTCGGTTGTGGTATCTGTGGGTTTGCCCTTTAAGATTTCAGCTTCCAGCAGTCGGTGCAGGTGTAGTTGTCAGTCCTGCGGCTCCTCCTCGTCAGACTCGCTGCTCTTAGTTTGTTCTGGCTGCGGTCGCTGGAGAGATGCTGCAGATTCTGTGTTGCAGGTGTCCTCTCTCACGCCGCTCTCACGTCTCTGCTCGTACTCACCTGTACTCATTCTGTCAGCATTTCTCTCTCTGAATCAGCATCCGTGTCACAGTCTGGGTCATCACGACCACTCGTTCCCTCGTCAGCGCTGTCAGTGTTTGTTCTTCGCCCTCCTCCTCCTCCTCCTCTTCATCCTCCTCTTCCTCCTCGGCTGACTGAACATGTCTGTCTGCGTCTCTCTGAAGTGTGAGGATGACTCCAGGCGCTTCACTTGTCATAGATGTCACAGTCACCGCCGTGGACGCTAATCTCCTCCCACCATCCTTAATGTCTCACAGAAACTTGACGACTTTGATTTCTCCAAGTTCTTCCTAAAAAACATTTTAATTCCTTTTCTTGGAGACGAAAAACATCTGTGGGTTTTTTTGGCAAACCTCACAGGATTATCCAAACTCCATTTTAAAGGGAGGATCTATGAGCAAACTAATCAGGATCATGTAACACCAGAACTTCCTGTAACAGGCAGAAACCTCGAGCAGAACCAGACAGTCATCTGCTGAGACTGAGTTGAGTTTACCCCCAATTTTCACCGCATCCTGAACAGCTACGAAAAGGCCATATCTGTCAATCATAGCTGATAGTAACCATTCAAGTTAACATGTCAATTTACACCGACTTCTTTCTGTTCCTCAGCGGATCATAAGAGTTCTATTTTTTCTGGACGCCGGAGCATGGCGGATAAATTCAGCACAGATTAACCCGTGCTGGAAAGGAAGTCGGGCACAGACACAAAATAAAACATCCGGCTTCTTTTCAAAATAAAACACTCCGTGTTTCAGGAGGATCGTATTTCACACCATGCAAACGGGCGGAGACGAACAAGTGAAAGGTTTTTAGACGTTATTTCACCCTGATGACACCATGGATGAGGAGATGCTGATTCTAGAAGTCTAGAAGTAGATTTCCTCCTCTGGAAGGACACAATCTACTGCTTTTATATCTATGTGTCTGTCTTTAGAGAGACAACTCGTTATTGCGCGATTGAACGTGAAGCCGCGGGTTCTTGTGAGTTCTCGCGATTCCTGCTGTCCGTAATCGTCCCAACCGAAATTCGTTTCACAAATGGATCCGGTAGTAATTGGCGGACGGCGAAAAATGCTGCTGTTCAGATCTGAGACATTCTAGATGCTGTGGAAATTCAGGGTAACTTGGTGTTAACTTGATTTTACGCCACAGTATCGCTTTAATGCTCCACAACCCCTTTAAAGGTAGAAATAACTGTTCATCAGATCAGTTCACACCCTTCTCTTTTTTTTGAGATCTTTGCTTCTACATCCATCCTGATTTCCTGTTCCCATAATTCCCTGCTCTGTTTTCCTCTTCTTTGTCTGCGTATTGAACTGTAACCTCACTCTCTGTTCTGCATTCGGTGTTTTCTGGATGATTGTTTGGATCATCTCTCTCTCTGTCACCTGTTATGCTGCTGATTGATCACCTCTTTGTTTGCTCACACTCGGCTCGTCCCTCCTCACATCTCACACAGCTCACGCTCATCACGCTCATCACGCCAGCCCGCTGAATTATAACACCCCCGCCCCCCTCCAGATCAATGCCTGTTCACATTTCAAACTCAATCTTCAGCAGCGGTCAATCAATGGGCTCAAACAGAATCAACCCGCCTGAACGGCCGGGGCCGCGGCCTCGGGTTCCCGGGGGAGCGCCGGCGAATCAAAGGGTGTTAACCTCAAATGATTCAAACACGGAGGGATCAAAACAAAAATTTTCCACCTCTTTAGAAAAAAATCTAATCTGGCGCTGAAGAGAAATCCGAGCGTGGAGTTTGGAGGAAAAGGGCAGAAATATAAAATGAAGGTGGTTTGTTTTGGCGTGGAAGTTGGTCGATGAAGTTTGAAAGCTCTAATTGAGTTCAGCAGATGAATGCAGCTCTCCAGTGACTAATTAAGTTAACATCTGTGGCAGGTTGTGTTAATTCGTCCTCTCAGCGACACACATTTTTCCCGGTGCTGAAGCCCTCTCTCCGATTCTCCAATAATCACTGAAAGTCCCACTAATGAGTGACAAACTCACCTGCAGCGCCGTATTTCACGCTGAAAGTCTCTTTTCTCGCTCGCTCTGCGGCACTTAGAGCTGCTGCACGAAGATTACTTTTCTCATTACGACCTGATTGCGCCCACGCCTACACAATCAACACGGCGCAGACACATTCATGTAAAAGTTTCTATCAATTTACTCGTCCTCGTTTCATCGCTATGGTAACTAAACGCAAAAACCAACACAGACTGTCTCATATTGTGTGCTCTAATTCCGCTGATTGAGGGAAAATAAGGAGCCGAGCTGAAAGTAAACAGAGATTTTATTGTCAATTTGTGGACGGAGGACGGTTTTACAGACGCCACAGGCGGACTCGGCGCACTCTGAGGTCGTGGACTTTGAAATCTGAAGTCTAGACCAGGGTCTGAACCAAGGTCCGTGTTTTTGTTGTGTAGTCGACATTTAGTTTGGTCTGTTTAGGTTTCACTCTGTCATTATTGCAAACGGACTGAAGGGGCGCTCACACCAAGAGCGAGTTAAATCATCTACTCGCTTAATTCGCGTGAATCTAGACGTGTGAATGAAAAGTATTTAATCGCTTCGTTTGAGCGTCAACGCTAACGTCAACGGTAATCCCTGGCAATTCAACCGGCAGGATCAAGTTACGATATACCAGGTAACTTGACCTCCTTCATCGTTTGGCGAGTTCCTTTTTATTCCGGTTTCAGTAATTGAAAGAAAAGTTATCATATAATTCGAGGCTCCCACACACCGACACGGTCAGTTTGTCCTCCATTTTAGATACCAGTGAACAACCGTCTGTTTTCATACGTCACCTGGCAACCTTTGTGCTGATTGGTTTTGGCGATGCGAATATCGGCTCAAGTTTAAACATTTTCAGCTCCCGCCCAATTCGAGCGCCTAATCGCGTCTTTGCATTGACTTAACATGTAAATTATTCGCGCGATTGATTTTAGCCGCACTTGGTGTGTGAAGACAGTAACAGACTCTACATGACGAACCTGCGTGATATCGTCATCAACTCTGTGCTTTGCATGTCTCTGTAGTTTATATTGATTGGTCATTAGATCGGCGGGCGTCTGACGTCAACACGTTGAAAAACACAAGTCGTGAATGGTCAGAATCATCATTTCCACCATCGTATTATTTTTGATTTTCTACCGACAGAGCTGTACATGAGGCTGGTCAGAGGAAGTCTCATGAATTTGATCGACAACGACGACTTTATCGACATCGACAGGAAAGGAATAAAAAAGTACGCTATTCTGCGAGTCATTGCCAAACCGGCTCAGGAGAAAAATCTGTGTAGATAAAGTCTTGAAAAGTATAATAATGAGGTTTAACTTTATCTACAATATTAGAAAATTTCCATTCAACATAATAACAGATACTTCTTCTCCTCACGTCATGTAAAGCAGCTACCGTTAGCCCACCCTTTAATAATTTCCTGTCTTTGGTACGAAGGCCGAACCTTTCAAAATAATGCTTTCACACTGGGCATGAACCGGACCGTGGTTCAGTTTGGTCTGGACCAAGGTCCCGGGGAGGTTTCACACCTTTCATTTTCAGGGCTGCGAAGTTTCAGAAAACGACAAGAATGAGACTTCAGCGTTATGACGTGTTCGGCGAAAAAAACATGGCCTTTTTTAACGTTGATTTAAACCTTAAGACTGATGTTCTAGTTACCTACCTTCTGATTTTAGGAGAGTAGGTGAGCATGGGTTTTTAATTTTGGCGCTGTTGTGTGTGAGATAGTTGGAGACGCCAAGACCCGCCTTACGTTGCTTTTGATTGGTTTATATTGCCTTCCATGGTTGGTTAGATTTAGGCACAAAGGAATGATGGATTGGTTATCTCGGTCAGTCAATCAGAGTTACTTGAACTATATTTAGCCAAGTGTATTATCATAAAAAAAAGGGTGGTGTGAGAAAGGGTCAAATTGCGTAATCGTCACACTCAAAGTGGGACACTTGGCAGCTCTGCGTTTTGGTTCGGACTAAACAGAAAAGTCCAAAAGTTCAGACAAAACGACGTAAGTGTGGAAGCCCTCTAAATTTCTGCCTGTCCCTTTAAGAAGAGTTTTTATTTAAAGTCATAAAACCCTGCTTAAAAAACAGGAACTGCTCCTTTAATCTGTAAAAGTGAAAACACCCTTCTGTGATATTTCCAGATTTCAGTAATGACCGGATCGCCTGTAAATGATCTTGGCGAGTTTTTAAATTATAGGTATGTATGTTTGCATCGTCACATTTACGTTTCCGATCCGTTTTTATTTTAGCAAACGTATCCTGGAGTCTTTGCAATCTGAAAGGATGATAACTGTAATCAAGATGGTGCCTTTTCCATCACACTGAGCTCAAAAGTGGCCGTGATATTTCCAAAAGTGAAACATTAAAGCGCCGTGTCACGCCAACTCCTCTAATGGCCCGTCTTTGTGTCTGAAAAGACGCCTGACAGGCGGTTCTGGTAAAATGAGCTCCTACTGAGTGAGACAGGTGCGTGTAATTTTTCCCTCTAAAGGTGAGAGAGATTAGATCATGAGAATAAATTAGTCTGTGATTGGCCCGGAGAGGCGTGGAAGAATCCAGATCCAAATCAGGAAGAGGAGAAGGCGCCGTGTGTGAGTGTGTGTGTGTGATGGAGACGGGTCAGTTTTCCTGTTACTACAGTATCAGTGTGTTGACTGAAATGGACCAGGACAGCCCCTCTGTGCACACACACACACACACACACACACACACACACACACGCTCATACCTGCTGACCTGATAAGATGAGAGGTAACGGCACACCAGCCTGTGAAAACAAAAAAAGAAAATCCCGCGGGTTTTCGAGCTCGTAGGTAACCATCATGTCTTGACACAATATGCCGCCTTATTGCTCTTCTTCACTTCCTGTCTTTTCCTCTGCAGCAGCAGCAGCAGCAGCTGTTTACCTCTGTCCTCCCTCCCTCCCTCTCCTCTTCCTCCATCTCTCCTCCTCCTCCTCCTCCTCCTGAAGCTCTTTTGCTTGCTGAGGCTCATCCAGGCACCGGGAGGACGTGCTCAGAATTGACTGTCTGATTAACACAGGAGACAAACACAATTAAAAATTGATTTGTGGCTCATTATTGACCAATGTGAATAATTTAACAAGGTCTCACGGCCGGGCACGCCAGTGAGTTCTCGCTCAGGGTTGTTGTGCATGTATTTGGGATTTTGCAGCTTTTTTCCATCCTGAGCTGCGGAGAACATGCAGAAACACACGAGCTCCTGTGACTCTGGAGTTACCCGTCATGTCGTCTGTGTGTGCAAACAGTGTCTCTGACCTCATTGGTCACAGTGAATGACTGTCGTTCTCATAGTGACACATCATTACATGCTAATACTGCTGATTGTTTGCAGACCCAGTTTCCCTGCAGGAGTTAATTTCACACCGACTGTCAGAAAAGTTTTAAATTCTGTTTTTTAAATCGGCGTTTCCACGATTATTAAGAAGAGTAAACAGTCGAGCCGTGTCTCTCAGACCACAGCGGTCCTGGTTCTGCTCAGACTTTCAGGGGTGAGTTTTTTGACTCTCTGCTCCGGCTCTGATTAAAGATTCACTCTGACAGCCAAATTGGGGTCATTCTCATTTTACCAGTGATACACATTTTTGACAACACTTGGCCGACGCAATTTCACACAGATTTGAGGAGATTATTGCTTCCGTCCTTCGGTGGTTTTGCAGAATAATCAACGGATAAAACCAACACGGTTATTAAAAAAAGGAAAAATTTGTAGAGCTCTAAATGTTGCACGTCTAAATCTTGTTTCCTGACAGCTTTCCTGGGAATTAAACAACAGCAGGAAAGTATAATGTGGCTCTAACTAGGGCTGCACGATAAATCAGATTATTTGATTATGAGGATGTTAAAAAATTAAAATCACACACCAGTGTAAACAAACATGGCGTTTGCAAAAGAAGGCGATAATTTCGTGGTTAAAAAGGACAAGAGCGAGTCAGTCGTGTTGAATTGGTACGACTTCACAGTTTCAGATGAAGAGTAAACCACTCCCTGCCGTAAAGTCTGAAGGCGGTATCAACCCGTCACCACGGAAACTAATTCAGGAGGAAACGCAAAGTTTTTTGTCGTATCAGCGTTTCATCCACACAGAAACGGCGATAGATGACTGTAAACAGTACTTTTTGAAAACGGGTCAGAGAGTGAATAAATCTGTAAACGACGACCATTTCATCTCCAGGTGGATGTCTATCTGCATCTCTGGAAACGATCATGTGACACACAGCGTAACTCTTTTATGGCGCCTGTGCGTGTGTCCGACCAAATTAACCTTTCTGCACATGCTCTGTTCTCTTCTTCTGTCTTCTATGTGCAGCGTTACAGCGCCACTTACATTTACAGAAGGATTAGATCTTAGGTGGTGCTACTTCTGCACATAGGGGGCAAAAATGCAAAGACAGTATCGTCCACAGGGGGCGCCAAACAGACACAAACAGAGAGTTCCTCACGGCAGCTTTATCGTGTTTTCACCTCTTTAATTTATGTTTTAGTTTTACTCACAGAGATCTCAGACAGAGAGGTTCACACGGCAGATCTCTGAAGATGTAAAACCACGTCTTTGTTTTTCCTCCGTCGGTTACAGCTGGCTAAGTTTACACTCCGTGTTTCTGCCCTCTTTTCTTCATTTACTTTAATTAACTGAAAGTTCACTTCATCCTGCTCTTCTCAGCAGACTCAGAGAAAGTGTTACCGCTCAGTCGCTCTACGTACAGCTCACTGCTGTGCTCCTTCGACACCTACCACCACCTACACTGAAGGTATTTATTTATGTTACCGAACGAACTCTGGTGCTGTCATGGAGGCAGACTGTGCTTCACTAACAGTTCGCTCATCCTACCGTATATCACAGGTAAAAACCTTGTTTCTTTCCATTAGTTCTTCTCCTGGTAGGTGATTAAAACGTGTCGAAGACGTTAATCCATAACATCTCCAGCCGAACTACCGCTGTTTTCACCACGAGCCCGACAAAAACTCTAAATTTAGGGTGTTTGTTTCTGCAGAGTAACTTTCATTAATCAGAACAAACCCCACGGTGAAGACGCAACCAGTCAGGCTCTTCACTGTAAATGTTTGACTTTGACAAACTGGACTGAAGGTTTGTTTTCGCTGCTCATTTATTTGTTTGTTCGGTTACAAAAAAGGTAAGAATTAAACATAAGTTTGCATAAATCAGCGTTAACGGATTAAAAAGATTATAAACCTTTGTTCAGTCTGTCTAAAGGTCCTTACACACCGGGAACGACACAAATATATGACACAAAATTACAACATATTCGGAGGCGAATTTTGACGCGCCTGACTATACACATCAAACGCGATGCGATTTTGCGACTTTCCGGGGGAAAAAAGATGCAAGAAGACTGAGCCAACAGCAGACTGAGTGTTTTCAGTTCTGATTAGACACTAGTGTTGAGATGTCTGTCTGTCATGATAGCATGTACTGAGTCGGGGCCAGTACCAGATAAGAACATGAAAGAGACAGTGAGACAGTGAAAATACATATGGTATGTTGTATCTGAACAGGTTAGCTTACGAGCTAAAGTAACTTAGCACAGATGAAAGTTAAAACAAAGACGTTTAACAAACTGTTAAAGCACACAAACCATCGTCCAAGTCGTCCTTCAGGTTGTTATCTTTGTAATATTTGTGTTTTTTATCAAAAATCACTCTGTTCTCCGACACGTAAACAATCAGCCGGTCGGCCATGTTGGATATACCGGTGAATCTGACGTCGCAACAACATGAAATCTGATTGTTCAGAAGTGGACACACAGTATGTGAAACTTTAAAAACGAAAAAATAAAAACATCACTGATGTGAACGCTTGTATTGACAGGATGCACAACAAAAACGCTCCTGGTGTGAAAGGACCTTAAAGCTGCAGGTTCTTGCATCTCTGCTCTGACTTCATCACTGAACTCATTGAGATTGTAAACACATACATGTTTCAGCACACTGGGATATTTTTATAATCAAAATAATCTGATTATGGTTTGAAATCGATTCATCGTGCAGCCCTAGCTTCAGCCTTCACTTGACCTTCACACTCGATCCTTCGTTAGTTAATTAAAAACCTCCTCAGACCATGAAAAGTTCTCCTCCCTCTCCCCCGCTGTGCTTTAAACAAACCCCAACTTTACCCGTCAATCTCACCTCGTTTCCACTCCTGACATTTCTCACATGTGGGCTCCCACTTCCTCACAATTACCCATCATTGTGTTGTCACCGCCTCCACCGCCCTGCTACGTCCTAATGGGGGAGAAGCTCTGACAGTTTGTCAGGCCGGAGAAGATAAGATGGCCGTTTAGCGGGCGTTTGCTCTCCTATCGTTTGTCTCGATTTAATTAGACCGTGAGCTCTCCTCCCAGGAAAGTCACCAAACGGGATCTGCTTTACCTGCACGTGTCGGAGATTAGCGGAGGATTAAGACCGGATTGTAGTTCTGATCTTGAAATTAATAAGCGCATGTATTATCAGGGTTTCAAGTCCCTCCTCATTATCATAGGACCTTATTCTGCAGAGTTCACAGAATGACAGGAGGAAATGTGAGAGGAGGACAGAACAGCCTGTGAAAGCGCAGACCCAGCCAGAGGCAGAAATGAGGACGACCCGTGTAAAAATGTGATGTTTGCTGCAGCAGAACCTGAATCCTTCATATTCAAGGACTCGGGTTCTGGTACACATCCAGAACCTTCTTTTGAGCCCCTAAAGCAAATCACCAAATCTGAGCTGAAAGGAGGAGATCAATAATCTTTATTGTGAGCGGAGCATCCTTTTCAATCAGGAGGAATCATGTTAAGTAGGTTTCTATTTTCGATAAGAAGCATTCATGATTTTAGGAGATAAACACGAGGATGTGATTCTCCGTGAGGCTGCAGGCGGTCTGAGAACATCGACTGTAAGTGCTGTGAGGGGAATAGATGTAGATGAAATAGAGCTGTCCTCCTCTGTAAACATTAAGGATTCACTTTGTGCGCTCGCTTTTGTTCCCTAAATCGGTTCCCTGTTGTTGCCTAACCCTCCAGCCTCCTCTCCTCTTGTATCTCTTGTTTCATTAGCCCTGATCCATTTGCTCTTTTGGGCTCTGCTCCTTTTTCTCTCCCTATCGGTTGTTTGCCAGGTGGCGCGTCTGTAAAAGCCGTCTGATTTATAGCGGGTGGAGAGTCGTGCCGGACAGCAGAGTCCCCGCAGGTATTCAGCGAATGTTTGTTTATCTGAGAAAGAGAGGAAAAGAAGCAGGAGGGAAAAAGACGATTAAATACGACCAGGTTAGAAACACCAACAACAAACTGCTGAAACTTTGAATCTTAGCTAATGAAGTTGTAATTCACGTCTGAGTCACATCTGCTCGGTTGTGAATGAAGCAGTGAACCCTGAACATGAATTGATATTCCAGGCGTGACTCTCCAAAACTCTCACCTCTCTTTACTCTCCGTTTCTCACTGAACAGAGACGAAACATGAAGAAGACAGAGACACAAATGTGAGCCGGTGAAAATAAAAACGTCTCTTTCATGCAGCGGCTCTCATGTTGAATATATTCAGTTATGCAAACTTCCCTGTTTGACATTTGTGCTTTCAGGATTCAGTATGAAGCTTTACAGCTCTGCAGCTGCTGCTCCTCAGGCCTCTCTTGGATCACTTCAGCGCAGGTTTCTATCCTCATATTTCATTTTTTTCACACATTATATCATTTTCAGGTTCTCAGAAACTCCGGCTCTTCTCTACACTAATTGGGATACAAACGCCGGTCTGTCTACCTGCCTGCCTGCCCATCTTTACCGACTGTCTGCCTGTCAGTCGATCTGCCTACTCTCTCTCCCTCTCTCTTTTTTTTCATACATCTTCTCTCAGTGATATAAAGGATCTAAAAGGTGCTAGGTTGCTAAGGTAACCGGTCTTCCTATAATATCAGAATCTGTGTTCGGTAAGTATTGAGTAAAAATGAGTCACGCTCCATCTTAATGACACTAAGGAGGATAATTACATGTGAGTTTCTTTGATATGTTCACGTCTTAGAGAAGATGTTTTGACATCTGTATGTGTGATTTATAAAAAACATAAAACTCTACAGTCAGTCTGTTTGCCATGAAAGTAAGTATGTATGAACTTTGAACTCTAAGAACACGTCACAAACTCAAGACACAGAGCAGCATTTTAACGTCGGGGTTCCTACGTGAGTATATGGTATATATATATAAACTCAAGGCCCCGGGGCCAAATCTATCTGGCCCACAAGATCATCTCATACTTGTATTATTATAGTCCCACCAGTATGAGGTCTGCAGATTTCCTCTAGTATAATAATGTAAACTTTAGCACCATTATTTAAAATGTAAGGAAGTAAGGAGTAAGGAAGATTTGATGAACAGTCAAGAATGTGAAGGGAAAAATATTTGGTGTTTTTATTTCATGTTTTCAATTTTGCATTTTAAGATTACAAGTCAAACACGATTGGAGTTTTTATATCATGTTTTTATTTTTTAACTCAGTATTTAGACTCGTGTTATTTCTACACTTTAGATTACAATTTTAAATTTTCAGTCATATTTTGACTTTTAAACCTGATTTCAATGTTCTCCTCGTGTTTTTGCTCTTTAAAGAATCATTTCTCTATTTTGAATATTACGCTCTGATCTTTTGAACTAATAAATACAAATAGAATAAAAAAATAAAATAATTTTTCTATCTCAGATTGCCTTTAAACGTATCTTTTTTATCTTTTTTTAATTTCCAAATAATTTATAACCATTTTTGTTTTTGTTACATATTTTTTTAAAAAGCAGGTTGACAGTTTTGGTGACAGTTTTGTTGAAATGTTGACCCTCTTTGGCCCTCAGGTTAGAACTTAATCCAGATTACGGCCCTTGCTGTGGTTGAGTTTGACACCCCTGATGTATAGAAATAAATTAGATTAATTTCCAAGTCTGAAAAGTATGGAAACATATTTTCGTTTCCAGACTTTCACCACAGTTCAAAAATACCTTTTTCTAACGTAGAAAAGTTGGTATTTCCCAAAATAATTCTAAAAATGAGAGAATGGAAAAGTCTGAACATTCCAACTGTGTAGAAACCCTGTAACTCTGATATCTCTGATCCTTCGCTCCTGCCTTTAGTTTATTTTCGGGTTTTTCTGCCTTTTTCACCGTCAGTTGGAGGACGGAGCAGGAAACTGAAATAGTTAAGGTCATGTTATTCTCCAGTTCTGCTGGTGGACGCACCGCTGATATTAAAGACCCAAGGTCGATCTATAAAGCTCGTCCAAACTATTATTTCTTTGGTTTTCTTATTGATCGAGAGCTAACGTTGTTAATTTGGTCTCCGGACTCAGGGTCGATGCTGCTTCGACCTTAGAGGAGGGAACTTCCTGTATCAGTGAGGCGCCATCGCTGTGATATTTGTACCGTCGCAGAAAGAAACGCCACTCTGCCTTTTAGAGGTGTCCTGATACAACTTTTTTACTTCGGATACGATACTGATACCGTAGCCTTCAATATTGGCTGATACCGATATTGATCTGATATTGGTACAGAATTATGTTTGACAACTTTTGCACTCAGTTTAAACGTCTTTTTTGGACTTAAACCAAAAATACTCCCACAGGGCCGACATCACTCCGACTCTTTGCTCTTTGGGAGGGGACGAGTTGGAACCACGGGAGAGGGGTGTGTCGGATACAGCAAGGTGATTGGATGGAGAGGCGGAGCCGGAGATTGACCAATAGGAGCTGTCTGGGGCGGATGGCTCCCATTGGTCAATGTTTTTGCAGCCCTGCTCCTGTTTGGGTGAACAGATTGTCTCCGTTTTTTTTTCTCTTCACTTTGTGGAGATCGCACTATAGGACCATGATCGCCATGGAAACGAGGTTCATAATCATTACCAATCATCAACCATGCCTTTAATCCTGTTGTTTTTTGGTGATTTGTCAGGCGGTAAAAACACAGTTGGACTCCTGCAGGAATAAAACTCTTCATATATAAATCTCTCTTTTTTTTCTCTCCCTCTCTCAGTCGGTCCATGAATTCGAAGCTTGACCTTTGCTGACCTGAACCGTGAGATTAATCCAGCGCACCCCTACCTGACCTGTCCTCCAGTGTGGTCTTTGATGGGCTTTTGAAGTCCGGTGACCCAGTTTAGTCAGAAAATACCAAAAACTTCTCCTTCAAGAGTTTCTTCCTGGTGTGAATCCAAAACAGCAGCTCAGACTTTGACTCGTTTATTCGAAGATACAAGCCTAATACTTTTCTACATTTATTCATCATCTGTTTTGGCGCCTGAATCGAAGAAGACTTCTTGACTTTGTTGATCATGTGAGGAGTCTTTCAGTTCAGAACGGAGACCCGGAGAGCTCCTCCAGCGGTTTTTTAAAGTCTAAGCCCACTGACACGGACACGCTGAAGATGCCCTTTGTAGATAAACCTCCTTCTCAGCTCTTGTATTACCATTTAAAATACTGTAGACATGCCCCACGGCAAAGAGGGGAGCTGTCGGCCCGGACACGCTGCGGTTTAAAACTCTACTGGCTTCTGTAAAAGACAGACAAGAGGGTACAAGAGCGAAGGAAGACCAAGTCCATGAACCACGATCGGTCTTTTCCTAATTGAGGTCAAACGAGTAGATGTTATAGAATTTTAAAGATTGTAAAATCTGCCACCAAGACTTCTGGAGTCCTTTTACTTCATCTAATTAGAGAGACAACAGACACACACACACAGACACACACACAGAGAGACACACTGGGGGAAAGTCTGGCAATGCTTTGGAGTTAATCAACCCGTTAATTGCCCCTCGGTGACAGGTTAATGCTTTTGTTTTTATCTGCCTCTCCCTCCTTCTTTCCTTCCCTCTTCCTGGGAGATCCTGCTGCGGTAAAAATCGGAACCAATCAGTCATTCACAGAAGCAATTAACTGCAATTGGCCGGGTCCGGACGGGCCCTGTCCCCCCATCCCATCCCACTGAGTATGTATCCGTGTGTGGACGTCCTGTTTTTATACGACGATGACTATTGTTGATGAGAATTTAATCATTATTGGGCTAAAAGATAATTTACTCTCAGAAATCTCAAATATATCATTTCCAGGAACATGCCAGAAGCGAGAAAGACCGGAGCAGAGAGAGGAGGAGAAGAGGAGGACTGAAATTACTTCTTAAAGGTTTTACATTTAAAGGTCAAACTCACATTTTTTGACAGAAGAAAAGAAAACAGACTTTCTCTGCAGGGTTACAGCGGGTCTCTGAGGGGTTCGAAAATCCTTGTAATTGCACCTCCGGCATGATCTCCAGACCACAACCGGAGGGGGAAACCTTATCAGCTGAGCACTTGTCAGGCGTCGCTGTAACTCCTCGGAAAAACAAATTAATTACTCTGAAGCCGTCGAGGGTCGAGCGTGCTCCGGGCCTCGGCGGACAAAACAGTCATTAGGAAATCAAAGTCAGATAAAATGAGTTTCTTTTGTCGCCACTTTTGATTTGATTTTAATTTTAACGATTATTGTGAAAGTCTTAAAGGTCAGCGGGTCCAATTAAGAGAAACACCACAGAAGTGTGGTAAGTGCATGTTCACGGTTTAGTAAGAGTGCTAAACACTGAAAACTTTCTTTCTTAGCTTTAACCTTTTTCATCAAGAATTCTAACTTTTTAAGTTTGTCGTTTTTACTTTAATTTAACTCTGAACGATACCTGTGCAGTATGAATGAACCTGTACAGGAGATATGAAAACCAATCAGAAGACAACACCGAGCATCGCTGAGCCTGTAACAACGTATGTTTTTTTGTTTTTTTTTCTCTTTAAAATAAATAAATACATAAATGAGTTCATTCTGTATCTTTTGTTAGATTGTTCTTGTATAACCCTTTTTTTGTCGTCGTTGTTACCATGTGGTCATTTTTCTTTCTCTCTCTTCCTGGAGTGTTAGCATTGTATAATATAGTTATTTGTTTACTTTCTGTATACAAGTCAATGTTTACAACATATACAACATTTGCCACATGTGTACTATGATATTCAAAAACCCAACAGAATATGAATCATATTAAAAATACTTTAACTCTAAAGTCACACCCACGGTCACTCTTATTGACTATTAGCCTGTTAGCAACAGCCAGTGTTAGCATCCCGCTACAAAACTAGCTTACTTGCTGCACATGGTGCTAAGCTAGGAAACTGATTAGCGCTGACATTAGAGTGGTAGAGTAACTTAATACACCCTGTCCTTTATTGATAGGACAGGTTGGAATTATGGGGTGATGGGGGGACTCGAGCTCATGACCATTGCGGGGACTGTGGTCCCTGTGGGTGGGGCACACTAACTCGCTCGGCCATCTGTGCGCCCCCATAATATCTCTGCTCGAAATGAAGGTGAACTTGTCTCTAAAAATGCATCATTTCTAAATCCTTATAAATGCATCTATAACACGTTTATTTTGCACTTTTTAAAGTGCATTCTAACTTCATGCAAAAGAAAAAAATATGTAGTAATAAAAAGTCATAAAATTCTGTTTATAATTGTGTTTAAGGATCATATAAATACTATAATCTGTTCTGAATGCATATAGTCACTTATACGGGTTGTTGTAGAGGTATTAATAAGACTAGTTTATCCTTTAATTTCTCTTTTGTATTTATGATGCTGTAATTTTAGGATTCCCCCCTGTGCGACTAATAAAGGTATATTTTACCTTATTAACTCTCTTACAAACAGAAACTGTATTTAAACCTGCTGTTCACATTTTTCTTGTTAAACTAGAGTAAGTAGTTCAAAGTTTATCTAAAAGTTGTTTCTGGACTTCATTAAGTTCCTCTTTAACTAAGAACTAGTGAAATGTAAAAACTCTTAAACACTCCTAAGACATCAAACAGAGTCGCTGTACATTGAGCTCGAACCTTGATCAGAGTAAAAGAACCTCCTCTGAGAGTAATCCCATCTCTGTACCTGTTCTCTAATCTTGTTATGATGTCTGTGTGATCAGCTGGTCGTAGATCATGAGGTGGACAGACTCTCCTAATGATCCCCACATGAAATAAATAACAGCGGAGGGGCACGAAGCCAGTTCCTGTTTTAGACTGAAGCTCTTCTGGGGAGTGGAGGAGCTTTTACGCTGAATCAGGAGTTTTGCACAAAAAGCCTCTGAACATGCACATATGAGTGTGTGTGTGTTAGTGTGTGTATGTGCATGTGTGTGTGATATCTCTTGTACTGTTGCACACCCATACTCTCCACCTGTGTGCGTGTGTGTGTGTCTGTGTGTGTGTGTGTGTACATGGATGTGTGCATCCTTTGCCCTTCATTGAGGATTCAGGGCTGCTCTATTTTTGTGCTTCACATTTCTCATCAATATTTTACTCCCCCTCTCCTCCTCTTCTTCTCTCCCTCTCTTTCTCTCTCTCTCTCTCTCTCCCTCTATTTCCTGGGCATCAGAATGAGGTTTTATCTATGCTCCACCACACACTATTGAAGGACTAGCTGGCTTACTGGCTGGGATCCCGTTGGGATGATATGAGTTGCGTCTGGTGCTGTAAAGAAACTGCCACCGCCAGATGGTTGCAAACAATCCTTTCGCTATTTGTTTTGAACCTTTATTTACACACGCTGCGTTGACAGGGTCCGACACACGGCCGTGCACAGAAGGGTTGTCGGGTCCAAACAGCCTCCCTGACACGGGGGTCATGTAACAAATCCAGTGAAGCAGCACCGGTCAAGGGCGGGTCAGTGTGTGATCGCTGCTGAGTGTAGTTTTGTGGCGGCGTGTCCACCCTGCTGGGTCAATTCCAGCTGCCCCATCAACACAAATGACACCGCGGACAGGAGGAGACAGAGGGAGGTTTAAAAGAGCACAGACCCCATGCAGGTCTACATAATAGCTGTGCCCCCCATACTGATTAACCGGGGCGGGAGCTGCAAATTCAGCCGATGCTCAAACATTTAACCTTTGCTCTGACAGATCTGCAGGTGGCTCTTTTTTTCGTTTATTTCTCTCCTTGTGGTCGACTTCAAGGGCGGGTCAAAGCTGTCAGCCGCCGTCAGGATCTGTGTGTAATCCTTTATTTGACTTCTGTAAATTCCTCCGGTCTGGATTATTTGTTGTTTTTACCGCTTCGGTCTCCCTGTCGGTCCGTCTCTAAGCTTCTGTCAAAGCTCTCGTGGTCACAGCAGGTCGCTGCGCACCAATGAGTCTGAAGCTGCTTTACATTTCAGAAACAGGAATATATGATGGTCTCTCTCTGTCTGTATGTTGTTGTTGACGCCCAATCAGTGAGACTTGGAGAGGGTGATCTGTGGTCATTTTTAGAGGCCATGGTGTTAATTGGAATAAACTTTGTTCATTATTTCAGCTGCACACTCCACGTCTTCTCACACCGCGGAATTATTTGTTGAAATAATGAGATAATTGAATCATGAGCCCAGATTCAAAAGTCAATGTTTCAGTTTAGTGAATTGATTTAATCCAATTAATCAACTCACTACACCCCGAGGTTTGGAAAAGTCCCTGCATCTTTCCTCTGAAGCCATGATTATATTTCTAATTTACGAGGACACGCAGCAGAGCTCTGAGTGGACCGAGTTTCAGCCTGTCGGTGTTTACAGTGTCGACTCGAACACGTGCAGCAGGTTAGAGGGCTGCAGGATTGACTCTGTCTCTTTCTTCATCACTTGGTTTCTGTTTGATATTTAAAGTCTATTCATGAAATCTGTTGTGAGCTCGTACCTGCATTTGCCAGCTGACACCCAGGGGAGCTAAATCATGCCTGCTAATTAACTATCAGGCCACTATTGGATACCTGGCAGAGCTCCAGCCCCCTGTGTTCGTGTGTGTGTGTGTGTTTGTGTTATTTTCCCTCTCTGTGTATCAGAATAAAGGTGTGATTATGGGGGGCATTAGCCCCTCTGCCTGCCTTTATTAGACCACACATGAAGGGCTTTATTTCATCAGAGCGGACGCCCTCCCCGGGAGTCATTTCTTTTTGCAATTTTCTGCTCGGTTTCATGTTCCATTACCAGCAGATTATGCTTTTTCTCTGTATTGCACATACACTCATTTATGGATGAGCTCACACACAAACACATTTGCGGCCATTACACACCCACACAGCTACACACACATATTGTGAATGCTCATGATCCATGCACTGTTGTTATTGGACCACTGGTTGCTGAATAGCGGATGGTGGAGCCTGCCTAGAGGAGAGGACAGTAGTTAAACCAGCACTGAATTGCTTTCTTTACTATGAAAGTAAAATCAATTTCAGAAACCCATTACCTGTATGGATGATTTAAAGGCATTCTGTGAAAGGAAAGGTGAGCTTTTACACCCTATTTCATCCTAATTTCTCGCTGTGTTTACTTGTGTGTGTGTGTGTGTAGGTGTGTGTGGAAGGCGTGTAGAGGAAGTTGGCAGGAAACCCTCACAGATATTATATTGACTCTAAAGATGCTGATTCAACATATCAGGATTCTTTTATAGGCACTCCACAGATTTGATACTTGAGAGTCAATTTACTGATCTTGGTGCTGCTAAGTATGTGGAAATAGTTTAACATCTAAAACGTCTTTAACGTCTGTGATATTTTTATGATACTTAACTAATTTATTGAACATACTATATTATGATTTTTTTTATCATACTATACTATGACATTTTATAGTACTATACTATGATTTTTTTGTCATTCTATACTATGACATTTTTATCATACTATACAATGACACCTTATTCTATCCTGAAATATTAAAGTTTTATCATACTACATTTTCAGCTTACTGTACCATTACATTTATTTGCATACTAAAATATGTTTTTTTTCACACTAAAACCTTAATTTGTGACATACTATCCTATGATATTTTTATCATACTGTACTATGACATTCATTTCCATACTAAAATTAGATTTTTTTCACACTAAAATATAAAATTGTTATCATACTATACTATGACTCTTTTAGCATACTATACTATGACATTTTTTTCATACTAAAATATGAAAATTTTCAATAAAAATTTGGAATTTTAGAAAAACTATGCTATGACATTTTAATCATACCATACTGTGATATTCTCATACTAAAATATGATCTTTCAGACTAAAAATGGAAATTTTAACATTCTATGCTATGACATTTTATCATACTATACTATGACATTTCTTTCCATACAAAAATAAGATTTTTTTTTTTCAGACTGAAATTTGGAAACTTTCAACTAACTATGCTATACTATATATTTTTATCATACTATACTATGACATTTTTTGTCATACTAAAATTTGGCTTTTTTTTTTCACACTAAAATTTGAAAATTTTCAACATACTATACTATGACATTTTTAACATACTATACTAAGCCTTTTTTGATACTAAAAAAATGCTATTTTTCACACAAAAATTCGGAATTTTTGATGTATTCTACTCTGACATTATAGCATATTAAACTATGACATTACTTTCCGTACTAAAATATGAAATTTCTTTCAGACTAAAAATTTAAATTTTTAACATACTATACTTAGTCATTTTTATCATACTATACTTTGACATTTTTATCATACTATACTATGACTTTTTTTTGTCATATTAAAACATGAAATTTTTTCACACTAAAATTGAAATTTTTTTCATACTATAGTGACATTTTTTCATACTAACATGAATTTTTTTTTACACTAAAAGTTGAAAGATTTTCACATACTATACTATGACATATCAAAATGAAATGTTTTTTTTCAGAAAAAAAATTGACATTTGTAACATACTATACTATATCATTTTTATCATACTATACTATTTGATTTATTTTCATACTAAATTATATTTTTTCACACCAATATTGGAATTTTTTAACATACTATACTATGGCATTTTTTGTCATACTAAAATTTGACTTTTTTTCACACTCAAATTTATAAATTTTTAACATACAATACTATGACAATTATTTTCATACTATACTATGACACTTTTTCGGACTAACATATAAAAATGTTTTCACACTAAAATTTAAAATTTTTCACATACTATACTATGACATTTTTATCATTCTATACTATAACAGTTTTTCATACTAAGTATGTTTTTTTTCAGACTTAAAATTGAAAATTTAACATACTATACTATGACATTTTTTATTATACTGTACTATAACATTTATTTCCATACTTAAAATTGAAATTTTTGAACATACTATACTATGACATTTTTTTCATACCAAAACATGAAATTTGTTTTCAGACTAAAAATTGAAATTTTGACATACTATACTATGATATTTTTATCATACTATACTATGACAGTTGTTTTCATACTAAAATATGAATTTTTTTTAAGATCAAAAATTGAAAATTTTCACATACTATACTATGACATTTTATCAAAATGAAATATTAATTTTTTTTTCCGTTCTAAAAATTGAAACTTTTAACATACAATACTATGACGTTTTTATTATACTATACACTGACAGTTTTTTGATACTGAAACATGATTTTTTTCACACTAAATTTGGAAAATTTTTTAACATACCATACTATGACATTTAAAACATATTTTACTATCATATTATTTTGATACTAAAATATGAATTTTTAATCTTATTTTATTATGACATTTTTATCATACTATCCTGTGACACTTTTTCGGACTAACATATAAAAAAAATTTTCACACTAAAATTTAAAATTTTTCACATACTATACTATGACATTTTTATCATTCTATACTATAACATTTTTTTCATACTAAGTATGTTTTTTTTCAGACTTAAAATTGAAAATTTAACATACTATACTATGACATTTTTTATTATACTGTACTATAACATTTATTTCCATACTTAAAATTGAAATTTTTGAAGATACTATACTATGACATTTTTTTCATACCAAAACATGAAATTTGTTTTCAGACTAAAATTTTTAATTTTTCACATACTATACTATGATATTTTTATCATACTATACTATGACACTTGTTTTCATACTAAAATATGATTTTTTTTTAAGATCAAAAATTGAAAATGTTCACATACTATACTATGACATTTTATCAAAATGAAATACATATTTTTTTTAAGTTCTTAAAATTGAAGCTTTTAACATACTATACTATGACATTTTTATTATACTATACTATGACAGTTTTTGTGATACTGAAACATGACATTTTTTTACACTAAAATTGAAATTTTTCAACATACTATACTATGACATTTTTTTTCATACCAAAACATGAAATTTGTTTTCAGACTAAAAATTTAAATTTTGACATACTATACTATGATATGTTTTTATCATACTATACTATGACACTTGTTTTCATACTAAAATATGAATTTTTTTTAAGATCAAAAATTGAAAATTTTCACATACTATACTATGACATTTTATCAAAATGAAATATTATTTTTTTTTTCCGCTCTAAAAATTGAAAATTTTAACATACTATACTATGACATTTTTATTATACTATACTATGACAGTTTTTTGATACTGAAATATGAAATTTTAACATACTATACTATGACATTTTTAACATACCATACTATGACATTTTAAACATATTTTACGATCATATTTTTTGATACTAAAATATGAATTTTTAATCTTATTTTATTATGACATTTTTATCATACTATACTATGAAAACTTTTCTCACACTTAAGTTTGAAATTTTCAACATACTATACAATGACATTTATTTTCATACTCAAATTTTTTTTTTTCACACTAAAATATGAAATCTTTTAAATACTATACCACTACTTTTTTTTTATCATACTATACTATGACATTTTTTTCATATTTTACTTTTATTTTTTCACATACTATAATATGAAATTGTTTGACTATTACTCCAATTCCTAAATTACCTTTAATTCTTTTCCAATGTGGTCTTTTATAGGGAGAATAGAAGATGAAGATTACGAAGAGTCTTTAGTTGTAGTTCTGTTTATTGATTTCAGTGAGTCAAGAATGTGCAACAGAGTCTCTGGGTTCAGAATGAGCTTGCCCTGGCAAACAGACAGTTTAGAGATCTAAGTGCTTCAGAACCCCTTCTAACTTTTCCTTGAACCCATCATAGCTGTGGATCTGCTTATCTAGACAAATGTTTGCTACACTTGGTATTGTCTTTTGCGTGTAGTCTGGTTCCTTGTTCTTCTTCACCTCTCGCACGGATGGGTCGAGCTGTTTACCTGAAAAGGAGATTTTTTTTTTTCAATTTACACTCATATCACACTTTCATTCTTTCAAAATCATACTGTTAGCTGCAATGTTCCAACCTCAGAACACTCTCTGTTCACATATTTCCTCTTTAATGACCCTTGTTGCAGCTTAAACAGCAAATAACCATCACTATTTATAAGAATACTTTTATAATACTAAACTATGATATTTAATCATACTAGACAATGTTTTTATCAAACTAAAATCTGACTTTTTTCAGACTAAAAATTGACATTTTTAACATACTATACCATGACATTTTTATCATTCTATTCTATGACATTTATTTTCATATTAAAATATGTTTTTCTTTTCACACTTAAATCAAAAAATCTTCACATACTACACTATGACATTTTTCATACCAACATGAAATTTTTTTCCAGACTGAAAATTGAAATTTTTGTCATACTATATACTATGACATTTTTATCATACTAGACTATGACATTTTGTCATACTAACATATGAATTTTTTTCAGACTAAAAATGGAAATTTTTGTCATACTATACTATGACATTTATTTTCATACTAAAATATGTTTTTCTTTTCACTTAAATTGAACTTTTTTAACATACTATACTATGACATTTCATCATATTATACTATAACATTGTACTGTACTATACTAGAACATTGATTTTCATACAAAAATTGTTTTTTTTTCCAGACTTAAAACTGAAAATTTAACATACTATACTATGCCATTTTAAACATAATGAAATAAGCAATAATCAAACATGCTACGATATTTGTAACATACATGACATTAACATTTATTTCCATACTAAAGTATATAATTCAGACCAAAAATTGAACTTTTTGACATACTATACTATGACATTTTATCATACTATACTATGACATTTTTTTGTACTAACATATAAAATTTTTTTAATACAAAAAATTGAAATTTTAAACATACTATACTATGAAATTTTTATCATACTATACTATCAAATGTTTTTATACTAAAATATGTTACACTTAAATTGAAATTTTTTTGCATACTTACTATGACGTTTTTAACATACTATACTATGACATTTTTTTGCCATACTAAAATTTGACTTTTTTTCACACTCAAATTTTGTAATTTTTAACATACTATACTGTGACACGTTTATAAAACTATACCATGACAGTTTTTTCATACAAAAAAATAAAAAAAATTTCACCTAAAATTAACATTTTTCATCATACTAGACTATGACATTTTGTCATACTAACGTATGAATTTTTGACCAAAAATTGAAATTTTTAACATACAATACTATGACATTTTTATCATACTATATTATGACATATTATCAAAATGAAATAATTGATTATTTTTCGGACTAAAAATTTAAAATGTAAATTACTGTACTATGACATTTTTTGTCATACTATACTATGACATTTTTTTTCTAAAACAAGAATTTTTTTTCACACTAAAAATTGAAATTTTTACTTTACTATATTATATTTTTTATCATACTATACTATGATATTTTGTCATAATGAAATATGCAATTTTTTTTACTTGAATTAAAAATATTTACATACTTTGACATTTATCTCCATACCAAAATATAAATATTTTTTAAGACTAAAAATTGAAATTTTAAACACACTATGCTATGACATTTTTAACATACTATACTATGACATTTTTTGTCATACTAAAATTTGACTTTTTTTCACACTTAAATTTGGAAATTTTTAACATACTTTACTATGACAATTCATCATACTATACTATGACATTAATTTTCACACAAAAATGAAAATTTTTTACACTAAATTTGGAATTTAAGACCTATTGCACAATGACATTTATTCATACTATACTATGACATTTTTTTCATACTAAAATATGATTTTTTTTTTATGGACTAAAAACTGAAACTTTTCACATACTATACTATGACATTTTCATCATACTATACTATGACATTTTTTTCATGTTAAAAATTTTTTACACTTAACCTTGGAATTTTTGATGTACTGTACTATGAGATTTTTAACATACAATACTATGACCTTTTTACCATACTAAAATATGACTTTTTTTTTCTGACTAAATTTCGAAATTTTTAACATACTATACTATGACTTTTTTATCATACTACAGGATTACTTTTTTTCATACTGAAATGTTCAATTTTTATCATACTATAATATGACATCTCAAGCAAACTATAACATGACATTTTATCATAATGAAATAAGAGGGTTTTTTTGCGCTAAAATTGGAATTTTCTAACACAGTATACTAGTATACATAGTATCACTATTCATTCATTCACACTGACAGCTCTGTTTCTATGCAGTTAAATATGTTGAAATAATGCAGGGTAAGACTTACACATGATTTTAACAATCAAAAAATTGAAACTCTATTTTTCCTTTCCCTCCGGTGCTCGTGCTGCAGATTTTCCTTTCTGCATGTGATTACATCTCCTCCTGTAAAATAAAAACATGTTTTCCCAAGAGTTGATGCTCCAGATATGATAAAGAAACGTGTTGTTTTTATAACAGAGGATATTATTCGGAGGCGTGCAGACAGAGAGAGGAGGAAAGGCAGCCAAAGAGAGAAAAGAGAGAAAAGAGCCTGTTCTTTTTACTCCAGTCGGCTGTGATGGTGGGCGAGAATAGAAAAGCTTGCATGGGTCGCTGAGAGGTGAGAGTGAGAGTCTGGAGAGCGCAGGAGGAGACAAGAGGTGATAGACGCCGAGTGCAGAGGCATCAAAGGGTGAAAAAAAAACCAGGAAAATGCAACAATTTCTGAGCGTTTGAATGTTTTTATGACAAGCCAGTGAAGGCAGCATTGTGCTTTTTCTTTGCAGGCTTTTAATTTAATGTTGGAAATAAAAGGAAAGGACACGAACGCTGTCAGAGAGAGAAGCCACTTTATGACTCCCAGTGTGTGTTTGTGTGTGTGTATATGTGTGTGCTGGAGCTTGTGTTTGTTGCAGCCTTGCTCTCTGCAGGTGTGTGTTTACCTTCATTAATTTCATGTTAAAGTAGCTCTCATTAACTCCTCGGAAAATTAATGTGTTTATGTGTTTGCGTGTGTAAACTGATGATTTCATTCGGCTCGTTTAAACAACATCGGCACTAACAGATGAGTGTCAGAGGTGTTATTGACAAGCAATCTTTGACTCATTCTCGACCTCTTCATCCGTAAACCTGCAGCCCGACACGTCTGAGCGTGGAGGAGGCGTCAGATACGGCGGATAAAGACGTTCGCCGCACCACAGTTTGATTTCGACGTGGAGGAAATGTCCGTAAGCTTCACCTTTAAACGCACAGAGCTGTTTTCTCGGCGCCTGACCTCAATTTTTTGGCTCTTGATTCTCACAGATTGTGTGATGATGAGTAAATCAGCGTGTACACAGACAGATTGTGAATGAACATTTTGTACCGAGGGAATAAAGCTGATTATTAGCCACGATTTCAAACATTTAATCTTTCGTTAAAGAGCCAGACTCTTTGAAGTCGGGGGGCTCGAGCTGACTCAGCCGCAGCCTGCGTCACTGAGCGAGATAAGTGGTGTTTCTAAGAAGTGATACTCATCTCTTCCTCGATGAACACATGCTTTTTATTATTATATAAGTTCAGATGTTGGATGTCTCTCTGCACCAATAATCCTTCTTTTACATTTCCACAGTGAGAGGAACAAGATTTTCTCCAGGAGTTTCATCAAAGTTTGATTATTGTGATTGTTTGTGCGCTCTAGTGTGTCAACTTCTACACAGAAAACTATAGTCTCTCTCACATTATTCTGAACTTTCTGCAGAAGGAATCTCCTGTTTGTTAAAACCTGATTAAACATGAATATTGACCCTTCATGTTCCCCATCCTTTGACCCGTTTTAACTGTTTTAAAGTCGTGTGAAAAATACTCCTGTTAACTCATGTGCTGTTTGATGATTAAGGGCCTGTGTCCACTGAGCGCTTCTTAGTGTAAAATGTCTCCAAGCATCTGCTGAACTTCATCACTTTGTCACTGCACTCTCAACACAAAACAGTTCAACTTTGGAATAACATGGCGCATGTTAATCTCGGCCGACCAATCACAGTGAGGGAGAGGCGGGACCTCTGCTAAAACTACAACGTGAAATTTCACAAAATAACTGCAAATATAAAGCAAACTGTAATTGCATAATTAGATAAACGAATGCATCAATAATTAAACGAATTAACTGACAGTTGTCCCTCCGCTTTGATAGGGTGACCATATTCTGGATCTCCAAAATGAGGACACGACTACAGGGGCAGGATGGATTTCATAAACTTCCTCAGACAAAGTTGGACAGCCCCAAAAAAGAGGACATGTCTGGGTAAAAGAGGACATATGGTCACCCTATCTTATAATGTCTCTTAAACCTGTTTTACAAACTGCATGTTGCTGATCTTTCCAAGAGAAGACGCTATTGCACACAGACTCCTCAGTTTAAAACGAGAGGTGAAGGTCTATCTGTCGGTGAAAAGGTTGATTTAGCCATCTTGACTTGTCCGAATATAAAGCTAGATAAAATAACATTCGTAGATGTAGCCATCTTGTTTCAGGCCTCCGATTTTGCTTTTTTCCAACTTGGTAACTGAAACGCTGGGAACTCGGGTGTGACGTCATTTTCAGCTCCGACTTCTGACTTCCGAGGTAACTTGAACGCAGCATTATTCCACATTTCCTAAAAGAGGCGGTAGTCCGGCTGTCATAAGTCCCCTTACTTTGTAAAATTCGTCCATGTTTTCTCCGAAGAACCACAATCCCATGAAACCTAATCCGGCCAAAACCACTTCTGTAATATCCAGACCGACCACCATCTTCTACGTCATCAGAACCAACTTTAAACCAATCATATACCCGAGTGGATCTGGCATCCTGAACACATCTGTTACCTACACTGGTTTTAGAAAAAGCTACACGGCTGCACTGAAACTGCTCATTGTGGACTCTGCAGTGGAAATCGTCTCACAGGAAAACAGTTGAAACTTTTTTCGTTGTCGTTGCTCTGACTCCTGAAACTGATCAGCTGATTCCTGCTCGTCCTCATGGATATAAACTTTGTCTGAAGGTACAAACACAACAACACTGAACATATTTACAGCTGTCAGTTTCATCACACAACAAATCACACGGTCCATCATGATCTTTTACGGCACATTCGGATCACCCAAAGTCGGCGTGTCGAGGTAAGACTGAGCTCGGGTCATAAACTCTCGCTGCAGGCCTGAGTGAGCTTTGTGGTTATCGACCGTTTCTCACATCTGAAGGAGCGTTAGCGGGCCACACACCGACCGTCAAACGACCACACGCTTGTTTACTCAAGCTGCACTCGTCCTCAGAGAGAGAGAGAGAGAGAGACGGAGTGACACACAGAGGAAAATCATCACAACCGTACACGAGCCAAGAGCAGCGAGAGACGAAAAGAAGAAGAAGAAGAAGAAGCAGAGATCTGAGTTCAAACGCTCCCTGTGAAATAAATCCACTCAGGACATTATTCAACAGTGTGCAATTGTAAAAGATGCGAGGGAAACTTTTGGGCTCTAAAGAGAAACGTTATGAAATGCTAAAACCTAAACCTTTACAGGGGGAGACACTCCGGAGTAAAACATGACAAAATGTTAAGAGAATGACATTTAACGGCCAGTTATTCCGAGGCAGGGCGGCCAGGAAAGGTTGTGAAACGCTCATAATGACATTTACTGTAACCTTTTCCTCTGACTTTTTGGAAAAAGGGTTAAAACCACAGAGACGGAAAGATGGGGTCGTGTTAGGTCATTCCCATTAATCAAAGCGGGAGAGCGCTGGGCCGGAGCCTGAGGGCCGATTCTCCTCTTACTCATTAAGAAGCGAGGAGCCGGAGGACGAGGGGCCACACACAGGAAGCAGTCAGCGCCGCAGAAAGGACTGATGGGTAAAATGTTTGTGTTTTTAACCGGGGCGACCCCTGGGTCACAAACCTGCGAGGGTCCGCTCTTCACTCCCTCTGAATCCTCGTTTTTAACTCAAATCTCCTCGTTAAAAAACATTTTTGTAAAAGCTCGATTAGCATGAATGTTTAATCGAGACCAAATTGCTCATTATTATGTACAAATGTGTTTAAAAGACAACAGTAATGCACATTAATTATGGAGAGAGGGAGCCGCTGAACGGAGCTGATTTGAGGGAAAAACACTGATTATGAAAGACCCGAGTGCAAATGTGACGAGACGTGTACAAAATGTTTGTGAATGAGACCTGCTGCCGTCAAAGGAGCGAGAGACGACTTCTGCAGGCAGAAACGTTCATTTCATCCTCGTCCAAATTAGATTTCACCCTCACAAATGTCAAATCTGGATCCCTGTGGCATCTCAAAGCAATCAAATATCTTCATTTTGGGTTTTCAGGGAACGCATAAAGGTGATGTTTGTAACGCCGATGAATGAAACGCTCTCCTACAACATTCTCCGAGTGACTCGACGATAAGCCGCTGACATTTAGCCGCCACTGTCTCTCTCCCGACAGAGGAGCTGAGAGTCGTGCAGCTGCAGCAGCAAAGCACATATCCTGAGGCCATGCGGTCCCTCCAGTCAGTGAGGCGCAGTCAGATGTTGGAGCACCTGCCTGCAGAATAGAAATTCACCCACTGTGGGAAATGTTATCCTCGGGTTTTAGCACCTGAGTGTTTTTCTGCCGCCGCTGACCTTTCAGGTTTTATCTAAACACATTCCTACACAGTTTAACCTTCTGTGATCATAACACTGACCTCAGCGAGCCGAGAGAAACACAGACAGAGGATCATGAGGACAAACAGGAGTGTGTCCAGACTTTATGGACTGGGGTGGCCCGACAAACGGGGGGGGGCCCTGACTTTAACAGAACAGACAAATACAAAGTCAGTTTACTTTCTCTTCTCTAACACACTAAAGCCAGAACTACGTCACACAATGAAACGACAACACTTCAGTAGGGTGACCATACGTCCTCTTTCACCCAAACATGTCCTCTTTTTTGGGGGCTGTCCGACCTGTCCAGGAGAGTCTCTAAAATCCTTCAAACGTCTGGAGTTTTGTATGGAAGTTTAGAGTTTGTGTCGAGTGGACTTATTGAGTTAGAAGAAAATAAAAAACACTCGACCGAACCTGAAAAACTCTCAAAATTTACTACACATAACTCCACGATTCCACCGCGCGTAGTTGTGTCCTCTTTTCGGGGATTCAGAATATGGTCACCCTACGTTTAAGTCCTTTCATGAAGGTTCTTATTGTCGAAGTTCTTCACCATGAAAAAGGGGGCGTCTTTTTATGTCCAAACCAAAAGGATCTGTTCAACACTCGGACGAAGCTCATAATTTGTTCTTTTCTCTGAATCAGACTTCTCTCCTTGTCCTCGTCTACATGCAGCTGAGAAAATCGAATTATTGATGTGAACGTGTCCTCCTCCCCAACACTAGGGGACGATATGGGTCTTTTCAGCGGCGCTGTTTCCGACCCCGTACAACCGTTAACAACAACAGCAGGTCGTACATGATCGACGCGCTACTTTTTCTAAAGATGAGACGAACGCTACTCCTCTTCTCGGGGTTACGGGGGTGTGGTGTACACGCACATGCACTGTCCGATCATACTGAGACTACGCTGGTTACATGGTAGAGAAAATCGAATACCAATCACATTATCTGGATATCTTAATCGGAGTTCTCAAATTGTTTTCATGCACTTCAGTTCTTCGGTCTTAATCGGAGTAAGGTGATAATTCGGTTTTCTTGAGTGCCATGTAAACGTACCACTACATACACAGAAAACTCATCAGTTTCACCTCCAACCAGATAAACTAACAAGGTTTTTTCAATCACAGCAGACTCTTACAGACTAAACTAACCCTCTGAGTTTAAATGTGAAAAAGCATCTTTATAACAGATTTCAAACATTCACTCCAAACACTTTCACCTTCAGATGATCGTCATAATTATATCTTTATATATATCCATTAAAAGTAAATAAACAGCCTCTATTTCTTGCTGTTTTCCTGGTTCTGATCGAGCGAGAGCAGCCGGCAGACGCAGAGGTCTGAGAGCGGCGCACAAAAGCTACCTGTTGCTGATTGGCTGGATCGGTGTTGTGTGGTTGGCTCTCGCTCTCTTTGTTTGCTTCCATTTCCAGAGCCCTCGACGTGTACACACACTCACACACACACTCACACACACACACACTCACACACACACACACACACACACACACACACACACTCACAGCGTACGCACACAGAGGAGGAGGAGATGGATTACTGAGGGGTTAGGAGATATTTGCTGAATTTAAGAAAAAGTTAACTGGATCAGGATCTCACACCTTTAAAAGTTACGACTTTGAATCCAAGTTTAGCCTTTTAGTTCTTTCTTTAATTTTAAATGTTAATTCAGGATTAAAGTCGATCTGTTTCACTCTCAAAAAAACACGACAAAGTGACACGACTTTGTGGAGTGACACTAAAACTGCTCGACATGATCAAACAGGTTTTAAGTGCAGCGCCTAATCTGCAGTTAGCGAGCGCAAACAAAGGCCTGTGTTTGAACAGAGGTGTGTGGATTTGCATGTCAGTTGGTCCACCTGTTGTACCTGAATCTGGGCGGGGCTCACCTGCAGCTTTTTTTAGCTGGGATCGCAGACGTGTTAAAGAGAAACGGATGTTTGACCTTTCAACACAAAGAAGCGAATCTATCGACACAGAGAGCGGGGATTACACTTTAGATTTACGAGTTAATCTGCAAACAAACAGTTTTCATGAAGCTGAGGTTGTTTTTTTCTTCTCAGGGTAAAAAGTCACTGAAATTCTGTGAAAACCTAAAACAGTCACAGACAGACTCGAGTGTTTCTAAGGTCAAATAACAGGTTATATTTTAGGCGGCAGACAGAAGCAGATGTGTTTCAGCCGTGAGCTTTTCTCACTCGTAGGTGTGACGCCTGTTGGGCAGAAGCCAAGAACCTGCTGGTCTGTAAAACACACCTGACATTAAAAAAGAAAAAAGGGTTTGTCTGGAGATTCTTCTTCAGTTTTTCTTTCTTATAAAAAGACCAAAACAAACAGGTCACCTTCTGAGTTTAAGATCTTTAAAAACATTAAGATGTAGGGACGAATTTCAGCTCCAAGTTTAGTCCTTCAGAGAGGATTCACCTGACTCCTGACCCTGACTAACCTGATCCTTATTATATAACAGGAATAATTCAAAAACAACACGGTGTCCTCACAGCAAAGTAAGAGAAGGTTCAGAACAGAGCGTCCAGTTCCTCCATGACAGAGCGGTTCTCGATCTGACCTCAGATCTGACTCTGTGGTCCAGCAGACCAGAATCCTCATAAACTTTAAAGAAAAACCACAAACTATCATTTCAGCGAGGAACGTTTCAGACTTCAGCTCTGACTCACTGACGAGTCGAGAGGTGAGAAAACATCCTGAAAACAGTCAGAAACGAGCCGACTTCAGTCAACATGAGTCAGCACAAGACTGCTGAGTCACACAGATATACCTCCATGAGAAACAGCTGACTCAGTAATAACAATAATAATAACAATAATATTAGTGATAATAATACATCAGATTTCATACAGCTCTTTATCAGAGACCCTCAAAGATCTTTACATTGGATCTTTCATTCATTCATTCGCTCACACAGTCACACCTTAGTGGTGGTAAACTATCTTAGTAGTCACAGCGTCTCTGACCACCACCACACAATCACACACCAGTGGAGGACTCACACTGGGAGCAAAGCAGGTTAAGTGTTTTGCCCGAGGACACAACGGACAGACTCAGGATAGGGGGGATCAAACCGCCAACCTTCAGATTATTGGACGACTGCTCAACCTCCTGAGCTAATTTACATAGTGACAGTGTTACTCTAATCAGGAGTGTCCCGATACAACTGTTTAACTCCAATTACGTTACCAATATTGTAGCCTTCAGTATTGGCCGATACAGATATTGATCTGATATTGATCTTTTTCAGACTTAAAAATAACTGCCACAGGGCCGACATCACTCCTACTCCTCTCTACTTTGTTAGTGCATTTGTACACACTGTTGTTGTGATCACGTGGGCTCTACATGCTGGATAAAGGTGCCGGAGTGGAGTCTGGAATGGACTGCTTGTATCTGCGTGCTGATATCTGAGATTTTAGATGCAGGCCGATATAATCTGATATTTGTTTTTTGCTGATATTGGACTGATATCTGATATCAGTATCATATTGGGACATCCTTAACCCTAATGTTAACCACTATGATAATACGCTTTGGTTGTTTCGGTTCAACAGTACAGGTGTGTTGCTTCACTAAGCTTTGCATTACTGAGCATTAACATGAGTGCATTGTACGTTCATGCAGGACTTAGCGATTTTATGTATACTCGGGCTGTCCCGACATGATATTGATATTGTATATTTCTCCGATATCAGCAAAAAACAAAAATCAGATTATAACGGCCTGCATCTAGAATCTCTGATATCAGCATGCCGATAAAAGCAGTCCATTCCAGACTCCACTCCAGCACCTCTCTCCAGCATGTAGAGCCCATGTGATCACAACAACAGTGTGAACTAAGGTACAAACAAAGTGGCAGTATTTTTCGTTA